GCTACTGTTGTCTCAGTTTGGGGCATTACTTTGGAATTTATAATCATCAGGAAATCATGGTTTATTTGAGTCCTTATATACCAAAAGACCTAAAAATTCAGTTAGAGTTGCATAAACACAAGTAATTCCTTCCTACTGTACACATGTGCACATTTCTGGTGTTTAACAAAACACATGCTAAAAACTATACTTGGCCAAGAAGGTAGATTTATAGCTGTTAGAAATCAACCACAGGGAGCGTGGGGCCTTTGCGGTTCAAGACATCTAAATGACAATAAAGCAGTATCACAAAGCAGGAAACAGACCTTGACTCTCTTCAATTTTAGGTTATTGGGGTTTGGAGAGGGAAACTTATGTCTCCTGCCAGACACGATTTTTAAACATTTATAACTTGCTTACCCCTTATCACTTTAAAGCACTTTGTCTAAGAAGGGTGACACTTATATGGCAAGTCATATTTTATTATTAGGGGAAAAGTTTTCTGAACAAGTGAAAACATTTGTCTTTAATAGTGATTAAATGCCTGACAAGTTAGAATCTTTATAGAGAACAAAATGAGCTAAGTGCAAAAACAAGTTTCTAATGCTGTTTCCAAAAATGAATAAAGATGAATGCACCAAGTATTTCTAAATCAGGAAATTCAAAACATCTTTAAAGTGGCTTAATAACTTTATGAAACCCTGCAAAATAATACAATAAAGATATCCCCATTCACTTTAATGTATGTGATTATCAAAATATTGATCAATTCTTGGTTTGCTTTTTATACTGTTACAGTATAAAGTATCTATTTGTTAGATATTTTACTCTGGCAGTGTATAACACCCAGTTTATTGGTCAGTGTAACACTATGCTCTTCAGTAGAGAAACATGCCCATGAAATACCTTTAACTTGATCTTTTATTACATTAAACCTATTTGAATGCAAACAAAGCAGTCATTTACACCCTGAGAATGTATTTGTATAATGCAAATCACAAGAAACACTCTTCAGAGTAATTTTTGAAATTTCCTTCAAAGTATATGAAGCATAGCTTTGGTTTTTAAAAATAAGATAAAAACCTGTTTTAAGTACTAGGCAAAAGAGATTTTTTAAAAAGTTCATGTTGGATATGGATAGACTTAAAGCTCATTAGTAAGCTTGCAGCAATTTTGAAATTATCGTATTTTTTTTAATTGCAGTTGGTCACAATAATCAAATGAGCTTAGTCTCACACTATCTTTATATCTCTAGTCTGCATTATAGCTAGAAAACTCTACCCTAGGAGTTTTTGTTTTCTAAGAAAGAGCCCTGACTTTGACATTAGAGTCAATGTTCATTTTACAAGAGTTAATGGGCCTGGATCTGATTATTTGTAACATTTACTTGGCTGATTGATGGATAATAAAGCAATATATATTAATTAGGCACGAGTAAGAGTGGCATGAAAAATGAATTTTACAGGTAGGCCAAAAACTTTTCTGAGAGTAGAATTTTAGAATTGCTTGCATAGACCTATTAAAATTGTCCAAATACACTATTTTAAGGCGAACCTACATTTCTCATAAAACTACAATTTTTTAATGGGACTTTAAAAAATTCTGTGGGTGTAGTTTTGATCCCCAATAACATTTTAAAAGCTATTTATTGCATACAATTTTATGTTACTATTAAAATTTATGAAAAGATATATTTTTAATTTCTTGAGGGATCTCTGAAACTTAATGAGATAAAGAAAAATCAATACACATATGTTTTTTAAGTCTGTACTTGTATGCTCTTAACTGTGTTAAAGTAAATAGAGCCATATCTGACAATCAGTATGTCCAGAAGTGGCTGTATAATTTTGGAAAGGAAAATTTCACTCTTCACAGGCTTATTTATTTAATTGCTAGTAGGAAAATAAATGCTTCCAAGCTAATAAAAAAAGTTTTTGTGTGCTATAATGATTTTTAAAATTTTTTTTGTCATCTTTAAAGGTTAGATGTATGTCTATTTTGTATTTTTGTCTCCGTGCATATAGTGTCTTTTTCTATCTTCCATTCAGATATTTGATGAACACAGAGCCCATATGGCACCCTTTTGCAAACAGGAATAAAAGCATACTTTCTCAGGGAAGATGCTACCTTACATCAAAAGTGGCTGATTGGCAAGTATTGTTCACAGACTTTGAAATTAATTGCATAAATTCAGAAATAAGTGAGCTCAATCCCCAGTACCAATAAATAGATAAATAAATAAACAAATAATCAAATTCAGAAATAAGAAGTGATGGTTTTAGAATGGATTTTCTGGAGGAAAGTCATGAACTGTGTCAATGTTTCTTAAATTCAGGTTTAAACAATGGGCTAAATCATAGGAGGAAAAAGTCCCAGGAGATCTTACTGTTTTTACCATACTAAAAAATAACTACAGTTGAATAGTGTAATTATTTCTTCCTGAAGTCTTTGGTTATGAAATCAGAGAGTCTCCTAGTTTAGAAGTGATGGACTTTTATCTGAATGTGCATATTCGAAGGGCCCTTGCTTTTGCTGAAGCTACTGTACTTGTAGTAACCCTCAGGTCAGTCGTATCAGCATCTAAACAGCTTGCCTTGGAGAGTTATGAAATTTCAGAGTTGATGACCATGATTGTGTTTTGGCCAAACGGCACAAACTGTTGTCCTCAATTTTCTAAAGTGGCTGGGTCTGTTCTAGAAACAGTGAGATGAGAAGAGTTATGTGCGTGTGCCAGCTCCCTGCAATGAATGTAATCATTATATACCGCAAACACATACTAATAAAAATTAAAATTAAAAAACATTGCAAAAGAGAATTGAGAATGGACTATAAGCAAAATATAAGCAGGTACATGCCATTTAAGAGGAATAATGGTTCTTAAGTTAGTCTTTTTAAAGTGGAAAAATACTTTATCTTGTGGAAAGCTAAGCTTCAGATGTCATAAAGTCATAAATCATTTAGTACAATATTTTGAGATAAGCAAAATTTTCAATATCTCTAAATTCTTATGTATAAATTACTCTATAGTCTGATTATTAAATGCATCAGCAATTTATGACCATTATTTTATTAGTGCTCAAGTTTAATTTCTTTCTTCTATTTAGTAAACATTGTGCACATTTATGTATTAATGCATATACATACCTTTAAGTGACGTTAAAACTCTGAGTAGAATCAAGTTTATCTACAACATATGCTTAAATGCATAAAATGTTTTATGTAGAAAGTGGACTCTTGAAAACATCCAACTGGATCATACATATAAAACATAAATGACAAAATTTTCAGTTATTCATTTCATCACATATTGTATTTTATAGGTGGTATTTATTTGCTACATATAACAAATTTCACATTATTTATTGACACATTACCTCCAGAAATTTAGAAACATTGTTAGTTACAAGAACACAGAAACAAACAAGTAGCTTCACTAACTATACCAAACTTCTTAAATTTCAGAAAGGCTTACTATGTCAAAGGCTAAATTTGTTTCCAAATCAAGAAAGAAAAATACTAAGGTTTAGTAGTATACAGCAAAGTGAAATATTCAGAAGTAATTAGAATTGGAAGGAAAAGAAACATTGGCCACCTTGTACTATTCCAACCCTCATCCTCACCTCCCTTCACCTAGGCTAGAACATGCTGAACAAGCACCAGAAACAACCAGTAAATGAAAGGAAACTCGAAGGGCACTCGGGGTCATTATTTTCACATACCTTTGAATAATGAGAGCATCACATGTCAGCTAGAGGAGAACAAAATGTCACATTCTCCAGCTAAAGGTCAGCTTTGGTCAAAGGTCACAGAGGGAGGCCAGGAAATAACCTAAGAGGTTAGGCCGAGTGCACAAAGAAAGGTCACCAAATGTCAATGAAAGAATGCAGCTGTTCCGAGATGAAACAACTGAGGCACCCTTTTGTGCTGACATCGGCTAGAAAAAAATGTCTCTGCTGACATTTTTTGAGCTGGCAGTTTTATAGGGTATTGACATTAATGTACCCAACCCCGAATTAGCCTTTTTAAAAGCAACAGTTTGGAAGTTAAGTGCAGCAGTTTCCAAAGAGTCATAACTGTGACATTTTTATTCCAAATGATTAATACAGAGATGGACTTCTAACACCAAATTTAGATTTCACCGGCTCTGTTTCACTGTGACGGTGTGTTAGTAACTAGGCTTCAGGATGGGTAGCCATCAGTAACTAGTGTTTTCATGATCTTAAGAACTGTTATTATTCCTTTAACTACAAAGTACTCAGAAGCCTCAGTGCGTCACAGGTTGGATGATATGAATTATTTTACATTTCCCTGGGTCTTGCTGTTGGTAATTCTTGATCTAGTAATAAAATCTATTCAAAGGAAAGAAAAAAAAAATGGCTAATAAATATGTAACCCCATTTAGAGGAATTTGTGCAAAACACTTGTAGCATTTATCTGTCTGAGCATTGATTCCTTTTTTTTAAACTAATAATTTCTACTTTAAAGGGCAGCCCTAAGGGCAACAATTCAGACATTAAGTCCCTCAGGAAAGACATTGAAAAAAAAAAATGACACCTTGAATTATTCAGAGACTTAGCTCATGGGTGATCCCTGTTAGTGGCTTTGGTTTTCTGGGAGGTGATGGGTCTATTACACACTCAGCTGATAGGACCCATCACTAGCAGCCTCCATTTCCAGACAGCACCAGCACATTCCCCATCTACAAACACCTTTTCCTGATCCCCAGCACAAGACTATCCCTTAATGTCACATGGACTTGATCCTCTTCAGTACTCCAACAAGTGGTCCCCATTTATGACACAGGAAGCTTGACTTTTTCTAAATCATTTTGAAATAGTTGAGCCATGTTAATGTCATCTTTGTCATAATTTTACATAGTGCTAAAAAGAGTATTGTATATCTGTAAAAAGTGATATAAAATTTCTCCAAGAAAGAAAACCCTAAAGCAAGAGTAAATTTGCCCTGCAAAATCTCTATTCCCAGCAACTTTTTTTTTATTGTTGTTTTTGCTCCTTCATAAGCTTCCAGGGAGGCTGCTGAATAACAACACTCACCCCAGGCTGACTTCAGGACTCACCCAGAGGTGAAACTATCTTCCTACCTAATGGCACTCGGCATATGAAGCCTGTCAGGAGAACATCATAAATCGTGGAGATGGGAAGCAGGAGCTGCAGCAAGAGCCACGCGAACCCTTTGTACTTAGGCGAACGAGTTATTTAACACATCAGGGAAGTGCATTTAATAAATGAAGTCAGTGACTTGAGCGTGTCCTATTCGATCTATACAGAGGTGGCTGAACTTTCTTTAAAAAGTCACTTTTATGCTGGATGCTTTTCTTATGAAATTTTCTACACCTCTAGTTTATGAAATAGATGTGTATGCAACTGATTGAGAAATAGCTAAGGTCAAAGCCAATGGGGAAATGTGTATCCAATAAACATAGCCAGATTTAATGTGTATCTCTATCCTGAAACTTCTCTGAAAAACTACTCCCTACATCTTCACATGTGATAAAGCTTGATATGAATATGAACCTCTCTTCAACTTTGAAACAGAAGCCACCTATGAAAACACACACACACACACACACACACACAAACACACACACACAATAGGATAAACAAAAACCCTAAATATTGCAAAGGGAAAAAAAAAACTTACTTGATTTTAGATTTGAAAAACTATAAATATCTTATTTGATATACTTGGGACTCATTGACAAAACAAATGTAGAAATTTCAGTATCTGGAAACTTTTATATTTGTACATTGATGTGCATGTTATCATCTAAATCACTTCAAATAATTGACTTCTGCTTTATATTAATTTGACATGCTTTTTTCTTGTCAAGTCATAGTTCTTTTTCTAGTATCTGAAAATGTGCCAAACTAAATGTCAGTGGCTCCATGAGGAAGATTTAGAGTTCGTTTTGGAACAGATAGAAGCTTCAAGTGACAAACATGCTTATCGTGAATGTCCCTCCTGCAGGTGTGACTAACCATATAACAAGGTCAAAAAAGCCACCAGAAAAGAGCTATGATTTGTTTGACTTGACATTCCCTGATATTTTTCTTTGTTATCCGTGTACCATCATTGTGTATCAGAGAGACAGTGAGGCAAGCGGGTGTTTTTAAGTGTATCTGGCTGGTAGCCCTGCATACCACAGAGAACTGCCGTGAATTTCTCAGTATGAAAAGCTTCCATTTGACTTTAGTGCCATTAAAGCCTTGCAGGAGCAAGTTTTGAAATGTTTCCTCAGGACAAATGCTAACAGCAAAGCTCACCTCATCCTCCTCCTCCTCCTGGAGCCACTCCAGGGGTAACTCCTAGTCTGCAAGTTAAACTTTACCAAATACACACTGTGCTAGAGAGGCTTGCATGGCCAGGGGAGCGGGGAGTCAGTCTCCTTTGGTCCTTCGCTTCTGAGATAAGTGGTGCCAAAAGGAACAGAGTCAGGCAGAGAAACGCTTTTGCAATTGGTCAACAAACATTCACTGTTGGAGAATGAAATTCATTCTGTACCTTGAGAACAGTCATGAAGTCATGCTTCCAATCTTCCAGGTGTTTAAGAGACAACAAACTGGACCCGGAACATTCTACCCTGAGGTCCCAGCATACTGCTAGCTGCTTGCCTTCCTTTTTGATGTACCACCACCTTTAGGGATGCAGGAGGCAAGGAAATTATCTCAGTGATTGCACTGTCTATCGGAGTCATTTCTCTATTGCCTCGGCCTCACATTTTAGCTCACATTAATGGTTTGGGCACATGTCAAATACAGTGCTAAAAAGGGATAGAGCTAGATAGATAGATACATACATACATACATACATACATAGAACTTAAGTCATTCTCCTTTATTACATTTCTTTAATTTTATGACATTCCATAGGTAAGTGAAAAAGAACTTTCTCTCAAACTGTCTTCAATCTCAGCACAAGAAAAAGACTGTCACCACAAGAAATGTCTTTTCCCACCTTAAGCCATGTGCTCCTCTCTTCAGACCCACTTTCTTGACCAAAGGACAAAGTTGCAGGTCTGAATCTGTACTTGCCTGTGGTCCATTTGTATTGCTTCTCTGTAGAGGTGATTCCTAGTGCTTACCCTGACATCCTGCCTCTGGGCTTTCATGACTTATTTCTCTAACAAAACAATTCCAACACCTGTTTACCACAGAAAATTCCTACACTGAGAAGGAAGAATGAAACTGATTTTGAAACTTACTTACACTGCTTAGAGGAACTCCCTGCATAAACCCAATCATCCAATTTAGAGAAGTAAGAGTTCTCCGAAAAAAGCTGGAAGGAAAGGACCTGTTTTAAACTAAAGTATGAAAAATTTCTACTTACCCTTACTCTGGAGGGAAAAAAACAAAAAGAATGAATCATGAAGAAAATGAATGATATGTTCTTATTAACTTTTCATTAAAAGAATGGGCAATACTTGGCTAATGACATTCAATTTATTCACAAAATGACAAAAGGGCAGTTATCTGTATGGTTTCCTGCTGAGGGGCCTTTGCAATGTGGAGGTTTTCTAAAGGTATAAAGGACAATTTTTTTATGCAGGCTTCCAAGGTTCCCTTAATTCCTTCTAGCGTTTCCATCTATTCTTTTGTCATTTCCTTTTTATGTGAGATGGATGCCTACCTACATCTTCTTTCCAAAACTAATGTGGAATGGTATGTGAAGTGGATTAAAAATTGGCGGTCAACTTACACAGCAGCTGAACAGAATCAGTGTGGTGCTAGGTATGGATGGCCCACCTAAGAATTGTTGTCAGATTAAAAAGGAGACCTGGAGAGGAAGCGTAGCATTGTGGATTCTCCTAAATGCTGTTGTTTGGAGCTGTTGGTTCTCCTGGATGAGACTGTCATACTGCATCCCCTGATATGAACTCAGCTGCTATTATCAGAGGAGCTCTGGACCTTGTCGCTGAGAATGGCTGCGGTTCACTTTAGGAGAGCTCTGGTCCTTATTTTGAGCATCACTTCCTGGCTCCAGAGAGGAAGGTGGTGTATTGTTCAACCTTGAAGTGAAGGTTGTCACGCTGGCTTTCTGATATGAACTCAGCTCTTCTCATTGTCAGAGGAGCTCAGGACCTCATTGTCACTGAGAATGGCTGCGTTACTTTTTGGGGAAACCCTGGTCCTTATATTGAGCACTGCCTTTGGCTCCAGTGCAGAAGTCTCAACCTACTGGCACAAATCCTTCGACCTGCTGGCATAGACTTTCTAGCTTCCACCACTAACCTTTGGGCCTTCCCAGTGCAGACCCCTGAAACAGACTTGCATGAGTCATTGTCATGGGCTCTAGGCTTCAGTTGAACTCATGGTGTGTGTGGGGGGGGGACATTGTCATGGGTTCTAGGTCTTCAACTGGACTCATTCAGACGTTGCTCTGGTATTTAAGCCCTCAACTGGATTCTCTAGGGCTAGTGTGTGGACAGATTTCCTACACTTTCTTTGTATTTGACTCCTTGGGTGACCATTATAAATAATACTATAAATCATGTGTCCTGTACTGTCTTGTTCTCCTTGCAAACCCTTGACTATAACAGTATATGAGTCTCTACACTTGAACATTAAATTGAAAACAATTTATAAGAAAAGTTGCTCAGGTTCTGGGTTCCAGGAAGAACTATAATTTACCATTCATGAGTTTTAAGTAAAAAGATGTTGATGGTACGACTCTTTATGGGGATGTGTGTGAAGAAGTCATCCAAGAACTAAGAAATAGCATCACCTTCATACTGAGCAGCAAAGAAACCAGAACCTAGGGAGGAGTGGAACAGTGGGGGAAAGGTTGTCCAGTTAGAGCTATAGTTAGAGAAATATAGACATTCTCCAGATGCAATGCTTAAACAAGGAAAGAACAGAGAAGGGAGGAAATACCCTAGCTTCTCTCCCATCCATGCCATTGTCTCCACTGAGTTTGTACCATGGATCAAATGCAATCAGTTACCAGTCAGCAAAAAGATCCAGTCACAGAACAGGAAAGACATAGCCACAGAAAGAATTTGGACTAGAAAGTAGGAAAAGCTGGCACTAAATTTCCCCTTAAATATACAAGGAATAGAATGAATTCAATCATGGGATCCCCTCAGAATGGAATTTCAGCACTTTGAAACAGCTGTTTTGCTCGAAGCAGGGATTATGGACTTAATTGTGTGCCCTCTACCCAAATCCCTATGTTAAAAGTAAAATCCTCAATGTGACTGTTCTTGAAAGTAAGGTATACTAAGTCTGTGATTTTGATACCCTTGAAGTTCATGTTCATGAGTTTAATTCTCATTGTTAGGTGTTAAGAAAGAGCAAACAGTTGCTAAATATTCAGAAGGAGAGTGTGGGTGGTGATTAGAAGTAGATAAGATTATCAGGATGGAGCCCTCATAACTGATATTAGTTGGTTTACAAGGGGAAAAACAAAGGTCAGAAGAGATGCACTCGCCTACAGGGGGCCTCTGTCCTCTGGCTGTGGGAACTCCCTATACCACCTCTGCTAGCAAAAAGGGCATCAGTAGATGCAACACCGTAAGCTTGTAACTCCAGAACTGTGAACCAAAATAAACTTCTTTTCTTTATTACTTAGTTTGTGACAATAGAAAATGAACAAAGCCAGAATGTTTAGGAGGTAATTAAGTTTAAATTAGTTCATAAATTTTGAGCTTTAATCTAAAAGGACTATAGCCTTAAAAAAAATTGCACTAAAAAAAATGGTGTCTGTCTCCTGTCTGTGTGTCAGTCTCTGTCTCCTTCCCTTCCTCCTTTGCTCTTCCCCTCTCTCTCCCCCCCTCTTTCCCTTCCTCTCCTTCTCCCTCACCTCTCCTTTTTCCCTTTTCCTCTCTTCCTCCCTAGTTCTGTCTCTGCTTCCATCTCACTGGGTTCTTTGAGAAGAGAAGGAACAAAAGTGGCCATCAGTAAGCCAAAAAGAGAGAAACTCAACAGAAACTGAGCCACCTAACACTGCCCAGCCTTCAGAATCATGAAAATATGTTTTGTTGTTATTATTGTTGTGTAAGTGACATAATCTATGGTATGTTCTTATAGAAGCCTAAGCTGATTGTATGAAGAAAATACAGGCTTTGAGTCACATAGACCAAAGCAGTAAAACTCACCAGTTGTAAAATTCAGGAAACACTCCAAACTTCAATTTTCAGGTTCAGATAGTAAGTACTATAATTTCTATATCATTGAGATTTTTAAAAAATCATCATTCTTTCTAAATTTTGTCTCAAGTACATTTTAATTTTTGCTGAAGTACTGCCTTTATAGCACAGTTAGTGAAATTTGTCTGTAACATTTAGCTTTAGTTTGTCTTATAATGGCTTTATTTCAGTTTCACTAACTATATAAT